GGAATTACTATACTAGTACCATTTGAAAAAATAGATTTTAAGGCAAGCAGAATGTCACTAGAATAAAAAGAGACCTTTTATAATGATAAAAGTGTCAATCAATCAAGATGATATAATTATAAACATATATGTCCCAAATAACAGAGTTACAAAATATGTGAAGCAATGCCTAACATGATCAAAAAGATAAATTCAACGATAATTGTTGGAAATTTCAAAAGTTCCACTTTTAAAAATAGATACAATAACTATACAGAAGATCAAAAAAGAATGAGATGACTGGAAAACTGCTATGTAGAAGACCTCGATACCAAAATCTCCAAAATATTGCAGAAAGAAACATTTTAAAAATTATTTAAATGGAGGGGAATACCAGGTTTACAGGTTGGAAGACTCAATTTTTAAAAGATCTTTCGTCTACCAAATTAAGCTCTATGTTTATCACAGTCCTATAAAAAAAACTAACAATTATTTGTAGAACTTGAGAAAGTGATTCTAAAATTTATATGGAAATACAAAGGATCTGGAATAACTAAAACACTCTTGGAAAAGAAGAACAAAATTGGAGAACTTCACTACCTGATTTCAAGATGTGCCTTGAAACTACATTAATTATGATAGTGTGGTAATTGAAAAAAAAAGACAAACCAATCATTACAAAATAAAAAGTCCAGTAATAGATCCACACGTGTATGGCCAATTTGTTTTTGACAAAGGCACCAATAAAAATCAATGAAGAAAGTCTTTTTAACAAATAATGGTGGAACAACTGGGCAAACAAATAGGAGGAAAAATGAACTTTAATCCCTACTTCATGTCACAACGAATCATTTTTAAAGTTCTAGAAGAAAACAAAGAATAATATCTTCATGACCATAGGTTTGGCACTGACTACTTAGACAGGAATCAAAAAGAAATTACAATAAAAATAATAAATTGTTCTTAAAGTAAATTAAATTTCTGCTCATCAAAAGACACTATTAAGAGGCCAGGCGTGGGCCGGGCACAGTGGCTTACGAGGCGGGCGGACCATGAGATTACAGATCTTGAGGAGATCCAGACCACCTGGCGAACAGTGAAACCCCGTCTATACTAAAAATACAAAAAATTAGCCGGGCTTGGTGGCGGGCGCCTGTAGTCCCAGCTACTCTACTCCAAAGGCTGAGGCAGGAGAATGGCGTGAACCCAGGAGGCGGAGCTTGCAGTGAGCCGAGATTCCACCACTGCACTCCAGTCTGGGCGACAGAGCGAGACTCCACCAAAAAAAAAAAAAAAAAAAAAAAAAGGCCAGGCATGGTGGTTTATGCCTGTAATCCTAGCACCTTGGGAGACCAAGGCGGGTGGATCACTGGAGGTCAGGAGTTGGAGACCAGCCTGGCCAACATGGTGAAACCATGTCTCCACTAAAAATACCAAAATTAGCCAGGCACGGTGGCCCGCACCTGTAATCCCAGCTATTTGGGAGGCTGAAGCAGGAGAATCACTTTTACCCGGGAGTTGAAGGTTGCAGTGAGCCAAGATTGCCCCGCTGCACTCCAGCCTGGGCAACAGAGCAAGACTCTGTCTCAAAAAAAAGAAAAACACCATTAAGCAAATTAAAAGATAAATCACATACTGAAAGAAAATATTCATAATGCCTATTTTGACTAATAATTCTTACCTAAAATATATGAAGAATTCTTACTACTACATAACACAAATGTAAGCAGTCCAACATAAAGAATAAGCCAAAGAGTTGAATAGGATCATGAAGATATATGATTAGCCAATAAGCACATGAAAATGTTCCAACTATCAATAGTCATCAGAGAAATTTAAAATCATAATAACATACTACTATGACCAGAAGGACTAAGATTTTAAGAGACTATATTACCTAGTGTTGGTGGAGATATTGAGCAATTGGAACTCCCGTAAGTTGCTAGGGAGAATGCAAAATGAACAGCCCCTGTCGTAGCATAGTGGAAAGATTATGGAAGTCTTTAAGGGAAAAACAAAAACAAATCAAAGATTTTCACGTATAGGTATTTATTGTAGCATTATTTAGTATAGTAAAGATGGGAAAATCCAAATGTTTCACAATGGAGGAATGTTAAAAGTATGGTATATCTTTATAATGATTTGATAAAATGTTTTAAATGGTGGAATTGTTTATGAAATAAATGTTATTTAGAGAAATCAGAATATGAAACTGTCTTTATTGAATTAAAAATCATCATGGAAGGGGCCAGGCATGATGGCTCACACCTGTAATCCCAACACTTTGGGAGGCCGAGGCAGGCAGAACACTTGAGGTCAGGAGTTCAAGACCAGCCTGGCCAATATGGTGAAACCTTGTCTCTACTAAAAATATAAAAATTAGCTGGGTTTGGTGGCACACACCTGTAATCCCAGCTACTTGAGAGGCTGAGGCAGGAGAATTGGTTGAGACCCAGAAGGTGGAGGTTGCAGTGAGCTGAGATGGCACCAGTGCATTCCAGCCTGGGCTACAGAGTGAGACTGTTTCAAAAAAAAAAGGAAGGAAGAAAAAAGCCAAAGTTATGATGAAATTGTGTATTTTTTAATCCCCTCCCTCACTTTTCTGTATCATCCAAGTTTTCTAGAGGGACAAAGCATTACTTCTATAGTACAAAAAATGTTTATTTTTAAATAATGATTGCTTTGAATAACTATATAGTATTTAATGATGATAACTATAAAATTATTTGCTTTAGGGTTTTGACACATTGTAAATTGGCATATGGAAGTAGTTTTACTATTATTGTTAGATCCATATTCAGTTCAGTTCCTACCTTCATCAGGAAAGTAGGTGAATTCAGAAGGAGCTAGGGAAAATGACAGAATCAATAGACAGTACAGAAATAGAAATGATGGTATTTTCCAGACAAATGAGCTTAGCTCTTTAACCACCAAATTTTGTATTTTAAAATTTTGATGAAACTCTTTCTAACATATGCATCATGCTTTCTTACTTACTAACTATATTATAGTGACCAAACCCCATCCTACCTCCTTGCTGTTTAACTTTGGAGAATTGATGTAATAACCTTTCTTCCTTGTTTTCTTATCTGTATGATGGGGTTAATATTAAAACCCCTCTCATTGTATTGGTAGGTGTGAAAAGGATAATTTATATAAAGTATTTAGCAGAGGATTGGGTACAAAATAATAGATGTCACTTTCTGTTATTACTATTACTACAAAGAACGTGTGGCACAGTAGCCATTCAATAGATTTGATTCACTGACTCAACTTACAATAATGTCTTTAAAGTCTTTCAGAGATCTGTAAAACACCTACCTCTGTTAAATGGTCCCAGATCACTCACTCACTAGTCATTATAGTTCCTTTCTCTGCCATTCTTTCACTGTTCCACGTTACTTTTCTTAATGTTTCTAGTTCTAGCAGCCTCCTCCTCTTTATAACTTGCAGTTTCTAATTTGCTGTCAGATAGCAAAGCCTGTTTAAGTCAGTACACTTTCAAGGAGTGCCTGGAAAACTCTTATAGCAACTCTGTGGATTAACATTTATTGCTTATTTAGTCAAACTTTTTCCTATCTAATTTGTATATCTAGGGTTAAGACTGTGTTCAACATAGTTTAGTTTGATGAATATCTATTTCCAGATTAATGGTAACATTTATATCAGCAAATATTATGTGTACTATGATTATAAACAGAAATTTAAAATTGGATGAGCATTAAATTGAAAGTCTTGAAAATAATGTTCAATGAAGAAAGAAATAGAGCAAACAATAAGCTTTGGAGTTGGTATTCAGTGCTCTATCAGCAATTGAAATATGAGTGCAGAATAATATAGTATATAAAAATCTGAGTCCTGTGTCCTTTTCAAGCTCTGTTATTGACTTCTCTGACTTTGAATAAATAGCTTAAACTCTTTGAAGTTACAGTTTCTCACTTATAAAACACAAGAGTTGGGCTACGTTGTCACAAGGCACCTTTCAGTTTCAAAATTCTGGGTTTTTTTGGACCTACCGCAAGTTTATTGTTATAAATTGTATAAAGAAGAGGGTGATGGGAAAGAATAGGAACAAAGATTATTTCGGTCATTGAAAATAGCTCTCAAATGTTTCTGAGCATGGAGACAGATTAAAATAGAAACTATGAATATTTATTTCACAAAAGAAAGTCTGTGAGACTTTATAACAAAGATAGAAAAACCATAGTGAAGAACATTTTACAAATACTATATAAATACAGATTGGCAAGTACAGAGAATTATACAATGTTTATTAATCTGTGTGTCTGTTGTTGCATTTGTCAGAAAAGTGGCAGAATAAAAATTAAGAAATATGAGAAAGAGAAAAATATACTGCTTATTATAAGGAATTTGATACTATTGAACAAAACACAGTATGTAATATACAATACTACATTTTTATAAATAAATACAAAATTTAGAATTCATAGCAGTTTTTAAAGATCTTTTAAAAGCCAATAATCATATTGCCTGAGAGGATATTTGATTAGGTATTGTTAAAACCCCTTCTAATTCTTATTATTTATTATCTATTTTCAGATAAAATTGGGTCATTTATTAAAGTAGCTATTTCTTATAAAAATAGTAAAAAAAGGATTTTATATGTTTGTGCCATCCATGTTTAAATAATCTTGTGTGTCAATCAGTTACTGCTCCTTATTTTTTCCTGTATCATTTGTTTAAACAAATTTTCAAAATAGGCCAGGCATGTTGGCTCACACCTGTAATCCCAACACTTTGGGTAGGTGAGGTGGGAGTATTGCTTGAGCCCAGGAGTTCAAGATGAGCCTGGGCGACATACTGAGACCCTATCTCTATAAAGAGAAAAAAAATTAATAAAAATATTTTTAAAATTTAGAATAATTGACATAACTTGGTCATGGTAAAGTAGTTTTCACATGGAAAAAAAAAAAGCCTTTTAAACTTGTAGGAATTAAGAAATTAGAATAACCTACAAAAGACTAGGAAAATTTATCTCATTTTTTTCATTGTATTTTCAGGTTTAACTGAACTGAATGACAGTCCAGTTCCCCTAGAACTTGAGCGCTGCAAGTCTCCTACCTCAGGTAAACGTGAGTGGTATTTTTCAAGATTCTGGTAGTTCACTGGAGTAATCTATTGCTTTATTTTCATGATCTTTATAATGTGAAATTTATAATTTTAGTAATTAGGTGTAATTCCATTCATTAAATTTACTGTAAGCAAATTTGATTCCAAATATAAAATATGAATAAATGTCTTTTAAAATACTTTTATCTCAAAATAAAATTAAGATCAGAAGTATAAGTGCAACAGTTTAAAAGACATTTTAAAGGAAAGTTATTTTGCAGATACATTAATAATGCTTACTAAGTATCAAATAAAAATTGGTAATATACAGAAACTTGTCATCCTCTGGCCAGAGCTGAATTAGTGGGAAATATACAGTATACATGCAGGAGCAAATGATACCATTCCTCTGGACCACAGTTTGGAAACATGTATATTCATTAATTGACAAAGAAAAATGATAATAGAATATGATATGAAGCAAAACATCAAGACAAAGTGTGTACCCATTAAAATATATTTAAAATGTAAGAATAAGATTCCCAGGGATACATCTTTAAGGTACTGTATGTCAAAAAAAAAAGTTAACAGTTATTTTTGGGTGGTGGGATTATGATTGGTTTGCCTGTTTTTTTAAATTTTTATGTATTTGATAATTCTGATTTTTGTATAATGTATATATAGTTTTGTGTAAGTTTCTAAACACCAAAATAATTAGGTTTGTCTTTACTGAATGACAGATCTGTTCTTACAGACAAGAAACTATAGTTCATTTTTATTTTTATTATTTTTTATTATTTTTATACTTTAAGTTCTAGGGTACATGTGCACAATGTGCAGGTTTGTTACATATGTATACATGTGCCATGTTGGTGTACTGCACCCATTAACTCGTCATTTACATTAGGTATATCTCCTAATGCTATCCCTCGCCCATCTCCCAACCCAAGGACAGGCCCCGTGTGATGTTCCCCTTCCTGTCTCCAAGTGTTCTCATTGTTCAATTCCCACCTATGAGTGAGAACATGCGGTGTTTGGTTTTCTGTTCTTGCAATGGTTTGCTGAGAATGATGGTTTCCAGTCTCATCCATGTCCCTACAAAGGACTTGAACTCATCCTTTTTTATGGCAGCATGGTATTCCATGGTGTATATGTGCCACATTTTCTTAATCCAGTCAATCACTGATGGACAGTTGGGTTGGTTCCAAGCCTTTGCTAGTGAGTAGTACCACAATAAACCTACGTGTGCATGTGTCTTTATAGTAGGATGATTTATAATCCTTTGGGTCTATACTCAGTAATAGGAAGACTGGGTCAAATGGTATTTCTAGTTCTAGATCCTTGAGGAATCACCACACTGTCTTCCACAGTGGTTGAACCAGTTTACCCTCCCACCAACAGTATAAAAGTGTTCCTATCTCTCCATATCCTCTCCAGCACCTGTTGTTTCCTGACTTTTAAATGATCGCCATTCTAACTGGTGTGAGATGGCATATCACTGTGGTTTTGATTTGCGTTTCTCTGATGGCCAGTGATGATGAGCATTTTTTCATGTGTCTGTTAGCTGCATAGAAGTCTTCTTTTGAGAAGTATCTGTTCATGTCCGTCACCCACTTTTTGATGGGGTTGTTTTTTTTCTTCTTCTAAATTTGTTTGAGTTATTTGTAGATTCTGGATATTAGCCCTTTGTCTGATGAGTAGATTGCAAAAATTTTCTCCCATCCTTCTGTAGGCTTGCCTGTTCACTCTGATGTAGTTCTTTTGCTGTGGCAAAAGCTCTTTAGTTTAATTAGATCCATTTGTCAGTCTTTGAGCTTTTGGCCATTGCTTTTGGTGTGTTTTAGACATGAAGTCCTTGCCCATGTCTATGCGACTGAATGGTTATGCCTAGGTTTCCTTCCTAAGGTTTTTTATGGGTTTTAGGCTGCATCTTTAAGTGTTTAATTGATCCTTGAATTAATTTTCTGTTTAAGGTGTGAAGGAGGGACCAGTTTCAGCTTTCTCTACATATGCGCCGTAGAGCGCAAGATTCGTCCGCCAGCACCATTTATTAATAGGGAATCCGTTCCCCATTTCTTGTGTTTTGTCAAGCGTTCGCAAAGATCAGAATGGCTGTAGATGTGCCGGTGGTTATTCTGCAGGCCTCTTTCTGTTTCCAATTGGTCTATATCCTCTATGTTTACCGAGTACAAGACTCGTTTCGGTTGGCTGGAACGCTTGTTAGTATGGTTTGACAGTCGATAAGCATGATCCTCGCCAGCTTTGTTCTTAGGTTCGTCTTGGCAATGTGGGCTCTTTTTTTATTCCATATGAATTTTTAAAAGAGTTTTTTTCCAAATTCTGTGAGAAAGTCCATTGGTAGGCTTGATGGGGATGGCATTGAATCTATAAATTACCTTGGGCATGTTGGCCATTTTCACATATTGATGTTTCCTACTCCATTGAGCATGGAATGTTCTCCCATTTGTTTTGTGTCCTCTTTCCTTTTATTTCATTGACACATGGGTTTGCTAAGTTCTTCGCCTGCTCGCTAAGAGGTCGCCTTTAGCATTCCCTGTAAAGTTGGTTCCTAGGTGAATTCTATTATCTCTTTGAAGCATTGTGAATGAGGGAGTTCCACTCATGAATTTGGCTCTCTGTTTGGTCTTTATTGGCATATTAGAATGCCTGTGATATTTGCACATTGATTTTGATGTCCTGAGACTTCGCCTGAAGGTTGCTTACGCAGCTAAGGAGATTTTGAGTTGAGATACTGAAGGTTTCTAATATATAATACATGTCATCTGCAACCAGGGACAATTTGACTCCCGTAGTTTTCATAACTGAATACCCTTTATTTCTTTTTTATTTCTTCTGTTTTTTTTTAAATTATACCTTTAATTCTAGGTGGCATGTGGATAATGTGCAGGTTGTTACATATGTCACATATTCTGCCATGTTAGTGTGCTGCACCCTCAACTCGTCCAGCACCCATCAACTTCGTCATTTACCTCAGGCTATACTTTTTCCCAATGCATCCTCCCTCCTCCCCTTCCCTCGATCGCCTCCGGTGCTGT